ATTTCTTAAATCTATTTTTGTCATGAAAATTTTTTCTTCTGCTTCAAATACAACTAATAATTTTTGCTGAATATAGGGTTTTTGACTATCATTTGTCTTCTTTCAGGACTTGTATGACATCAGTTAAGTCCTTCTGTTTTTCATAGTATCCATTAGCAAATCAGCTGTTGTTCTGATGGACCTTCCTTTGTATGTTACTTGGTCTTACTCTCTTGTACCTTTCAATGTCATTTTCTTTGTTATGTACATTTAGATTTTTGACAATTATATAACATGGAGAATATTTTCCCAGTCCTTTGTATCTGGTGCTCTCTATGCCTCTTACGCCTTGAAAGGTATTGATTTTATTAGATTTGGAAATTTTTCTCTATGGTGTTGCTGAAAATAGTTTTGTTACCTTTGACCTGGGTATTTTTTCCTGCTCATGTACCTACTACTTATAGATTTCATCTTTTTATAGAGTTCCAGACAACTTTCATTTTCTATTTTGGGGACTAAAACAAACAAACAAAAAGCAAAACAAAACAAAAAAACCTATTCAAATATCAACCCAGAAACTTCCTGGCCTCCAGATCTGGCATACAGACATGCTCAGCCTTGCCTCTGGTAAGTTAGGTTAAGATCAAGCTCACTGCCTCCCTCCCCATTTCTCTCATCTACACATACTCTCACCTGCAAACCTCTCTCACAGGCTGGCATAATTCCTTAACCTCAAATAACAAGACTAACTTCCTGATGAAGAGTATCCAATCACCCTACTATAGACCTCTAAGTCCTCACCTAGGCTGTCTCCTCACCTCCAAATTCCCAGTCTCTAGGTAAGACAGATAGACAAGCTCAGCCAGGACACTAGTAAATCAGATCAACCTCATTGCCTCCCTACCCCATTTCTATCACCTGCCTCCAATTAGCCCCTGCAGCTCTCTCTCAGAGGCAGGCTACAGTTCCTTCACCTCGAGACCCAAGACTAGTTTCTGGAGCCAGATTAACTAAACACCCAACCAAAGAACCCTAAGTCCTCATCCAGGTGATTGCCTCACTGCCAAAGTCCCAGCCTCCATATCAGGCAGACAGACCTGTTCAGTCAGGACTCTGACCAGTCTCCTACCCAGCAGGAATCTGAAATACCCACCAATTTATCTTCCATACCCAAACAAAAAGTAAGTAAGCTACATAAACAATATTAACAGAACCAAAATTAAATTAAACAAAAGCACGGTAGAAGTTCCTCTTGAACACATAAAAAAGAATATCTATGTGCCAGGATAAGAATGCAAAAACACAAAAAAAGTATGAAAAACCAGGAAAATATGTCCCCAATGAAACCCACGAGTCTTCAGAAGTGCACAACATTGAGAATCACCCTGTAGACCCCCAGGCCACAGAATTTAAAAGAACAATCATAAACATGATCAAAGAATTATAAGAAAACCCAAACTCAAAGAACTCAAAGAGGTAATGTATAGACTTTTGCTGGAAGCTTAAGATAATACATATATGCAGCTTAATAAAATAGCAAAAAACATTCATATTTTAAAATGTGAATTCACTAAAGATAGAGACATAGTGAATAAAACCCAAATGGAAATGAACACAGGATAGAGAGACTCAATAATCCTATTAGAAACAACAGGAAAAAGTCTAGCAAGCAGAAAATATGAAATGGAAAACAGAACATCAAGACTGAAGGATAAAGTTCGAGATCTGGACTCCTTAAGCAAAGACTATGTAAAATTAAAAACAAAACACAGGAATGGAATAATCAGGAAATGTGGGACAACATGAAATGACCAAATCTACATATTATAGGCATACATGAAGGAGAAGAAAATCAAACCAATGGCATTGGACAGAGCTTCAATAAGATTATAGAGGAAAATTTCCCTAATTGAGAGAAAGATTTACCTATAGAGATTTAAGAAGCAATGAAAATGGAAAACAGAATATCAACACTGGAGAAGAATTGGACCCATCAGGCAGAGATTATGAAAAATTAAAAAAAACACAGGAATGGAATACTCAGGAAATGTGGGACAACATGAAATGACTAAATCTACATATTATAAGCACACAGGAAGGAGAAGAAAATCAAACCAATGGCATTGAACAGGTATTTAATAGGATTATAGAAGAAAACTTCCCTAAATTAAGGAAAGATATACCTAATAGAGATTCAAGAAGCACTTGGAACACCATTAAGACATGATCAGAACAGAAAATCACCACTACATACCATAGTAAAAGCATTAAATGTATAGAACAAAGAGAGGGTAATGAGAGCTGCTAAACAAAACCAAGAATTTACATATTAAGGAAAACCCAACAGAATTATAGCTCAGTTTTCAGTGAAAACTATGGAAGCCAGAGGAGCCTGGAACAAAGTATTCTCAGTTCTAAACAACCATGGATGCCAACCTCAAATACTTTCTCCAAAAATACTGTCAAGGTCGAGATTTTTAAAAATGAAAAAGTCAACCAAGATTAAAGGACTTTCCCTCCAAGACCATGATATTTGGTGTTGGATAGATGGCAGAGTGAATAACATCATGTATTCTCTTGAGAGGATCTGGGTTCAGTTACCAGCACCCATACGGCTTCTTGCCTATAACTCAAGATCCAGTGAATCTGATTTCTGTGGGCTCCTGCATGTACCTGGTGAATATAAATAGACACAAGAATTCACAGAAAGAAAGAAAGGAAGAGAGAGAGAGAGAGAGAGAGAGAGAGAAAGAAAGAAGAGAGAGATAAAATAAATAAAAGAGAAAAAATAAACTCTTTTAAAGCACATTATCACTTTATCATTCAGGCAATAGTCTGAACCTAGAATTTCATCCCTCATCTGCTGTGAAATATTTTATTATTTTTGCAATTGCTGTGATACAATTTCCTGAAAATAACAACTTAAAAACATAAATAATTTATTTTGTTTTCCAGTTCCAGAGGGACAGTTCTTCATTGCAAGGAAACATGGCAGAAGTCAAGGAAATCATGGCATGAGCAGGATGTTAGCTGTTCTCATCACACACATGCTCATGAAGCAGACAGCAATAAAGACTTGTCAGCTCTCCTTTCTCATTTATACAGTCCAGTGCCAAGGAAAAAATCGTGACTTTCCAAGTGTGCCAGTCTTCTCACTTCAATGTATTCGAGATTATCCTTCACAGGCATGCACAGCGGTACACCTCATAGGTGACGTAGATTCTGACAGTTTGAGAACTCTAACTAACCATCACAAGGACATACACATTAAATTTCCAAATGGTTTGAAATATGAGTGCCTATTCAACCTCTAGATAAACATGTATTTTGATACATATAATCCAAAATTATAATTATATAAAGCATATGATATGTATATATTTCATTTCATTAAATATGCCAGAAATACAGTTACATAAATATGTTAATTTTTTAAAGTATCATTTGTGAAACCATCAAACCTGTTAAATGGTAGTATCAATATCAAAATCATTAATATAAGTAACCTGAAACAATTTGCAACAAATATATTTGGAAACAGTTTTTCATTAACATATGTAATGTTCACAAATCCTTTTAAAATAAAGGTTTCATGATATATAAACAGGTTACTTAAATGTATTTGTAACAAATTGTCACAGTGTAGTCTGTAGAGATATATGATTAAAACAATAATGATCTTTAAGAAATTTTTTACTTCTTGACTGATAAGTGAAAGGGGAATAGAAATAAATTATGTGTTACTAAGGCACCAGTAGAAAATGAAACATTATAACATACAAAACTCAGGAATGAGTGAAGCTAAAGTATTGAGTCTCACCAAGTAACTCCAAAGGATGAAAAAGAGATTTTTATTTTTTCTAATATAAATGTTCTTAATATAACTTTGCTCACAGCTTTCTTTATCTGTTTATTTCTAAGACTGTAGATGACAGGATTTAAGAATGGTGGTATAATGGTATAAAGTACAGACAGAATCATGTCCTGAGTCACTTCTGATATAACTGGAGGTTTTAGATACACATAGGCACCAGAGGAAAGGAATACAGACACCACAATGATGTGAGGGACACAGGTGGAAAAGGCCTTTCTTCTCTCTTCTTTGACAGGAAGCTTCAACACAGTTGAAAAGATGTGAACATATGATATAACAATGAAGATAAAGCAGCTACCACTAACTCCTATGGCAGTTAAAAGAATGAGGAGTTTGTTTGTAAAGGTGTCTGAGCAAGAGAGCCTCAGCAGAAAGGGAATCTCACAGAAGAATTGAGGGACCACATTAGAGTGACAGAAGGACAGCTGGAATGTCTTCACAGTGTGCAAACCTGCTATGGCAAGACAAAGTAGTATGGAAGCCAGAGTCATCTGAACACAGAATTGGTGGTTCATGATGACAGGATAGAGGAGGGGCTGGCAGATGGCTACATAGCGGTCCTGGGCCATCACAGTGAGTAAGAGAATCTCCATACATACACAAAAAAAGAACAAAAAGATCTGTACAGCACACCCAGCCAAAGAAATGCCCCTGTTGTCAGTGAGAGAGTTGACACAGGCATTGGGGAATATGACAGAAACATAGCACATGTCTAAGATGGACAGATTCCTGAGGAAGAAGTACATGGGTGTGTGGAGGCTCTGGTCAATGGTGGTAACCATGATGATGGTCAGGTTCCCTAGCAGGCTCCCCAGGTACATTAGCAAGAACAGAATGCTGAGAAGGAGCCTGAGCTCCCATGTCTCAGCAAAAAACCCAAGGAGAAACTCA